TTTTTTTTTTTTAAAGTCCGTTGATCTTGCCTTGTTCTAGGTTTTAATATTTATGCTAGTGCCGTTTTTTAACTATCGTTTCGGTTCGATAATTTTCAAGTGTTGTTTTTATTTAGATTAATAGGTTTTCCTTTTATTTTCGCCCCCCCCCCATGAAATATATTGCGTTATTTAATCATTGGTTTTGTTTATTAGTTGATTTAGGAATCGTAATTATTTTTTAAACTTGTTTTTCTTGTCTAAACTTGCAAATTTTTTTATTCTTTTAAATTTTATTTTTCTACAATTTTTTTCCTTTTTAGATTTAGGAGTGCTTTTCTTTTTTCTCTTACTTTAAAATGTGTTTACATTTTTTCCTTGTAATTTGGGTTTGATAAAACATCGATTAACGACACTTTTTTGTCGATCCAGGAAACCGGGAAATTAAGACATCCGGGATAGCGATGGTCCCGAGCATCCCGGATAATTGGTTCTTTATTGTACAGACATTAGTATTGAATTGGTTTTTTAAAATAAAATACTTATTCAATTTGTTTATTTTTTAAAAGTTTTTGTGTATTTTTATTACAGTGTCGGGTTTTTGAATAATGTTTTATTAAGGAAATGGTATTTATTTAAAGAGTATCTACCTAATATAGTTTTGTGTTGCTAAATCTGTGTTTAATTATTTTATTTCCATTTAATATTTTTAAACAATTATTGCTCTATTAGTGTGTAAAATTTCTTGCATTCTTATATTTAATAAATTTTTTACTTAAAATTCCTTAGAAGTGCCAAATGTTGCATACCATGCACCTTTTTTTACCCCTCCTGAAATCTCCTGAATTCTTGTTAGGGAAACTCCTGAATGTTAATTTTGCTAGGTTGGCACGTCTGAATATATATATCACTTATAATAATTTTAAGTTCGTAAAGTTTTGCGTTGCATTTTAATTTACGAATTGTTTTGGATTTAATAAAGTATATTTAATTTTTCCAAGTTGGTGTTAATTTATTTTTACTCTTGATTTATTCTCACTTTTGCCTGTTCCTGAATTATGCACTTAATTTTTATTAAGTAATATGTAAAGTTGAAATTTCATTTTTACACTTTAGAGATTTCATTCTTGACTTATTAAATTTCAGAGCTTTATTTTATGACTTGCAATTATTTATGATATGTATGGATGAATAAGAATAATCTTCTGTTATGTAATAAACTACCGTGTGATCTGTTTTTATCCTAGCAAAATCATATATTACCCCTAAAATTTACCTAAAATTTTTTGAAAAAAGTTCCTAAAATTACCCTAAAATTTTAAAAAACTTTGCTGCTACCCGTGTGGATAATTGATTTCGTAATATCGGTATTTTTTATACATTGTTCACATGGAAATACATTTGGGGATTCGGAAAATATTCGTTACTTTGAAATTTTCGCTATTTCGAATTTCGCAAAAACGGGATTTGACTGTATGTGTATATGAGTGACAACATTGTGGCATTGAGCATTTATTGGAAGAGATGGTCTTCTTACCCTGATGGATGCTTGGAGCTCACGTAGCTTCAGATAAAACAAGTAGCAGCCTTCTGAGAAATTAGGATGGACTATGTGCGTCTGACCACATTATCATTGATCATGAAATTAAGAACCCTTAACTTAAATTTCTCCCTGGCTCTATTGCGGGTTGCTGACCCCTGACCAATGTGGGCTTCCGTGGGAATGCTTTACTTTTTAATTAAGCTTGTTATAATAACAATATTGTTATTGTAAGGCAGATAGTTTATTACTTGCCATTTTTTTCATAAATAATGTAGTTTATGTTTTTGTCTGATTTTAGATTCCACGGGAGTGGGTTTTCTATGGCGCTCGTAAATTTTGGAGATCCATGTTTGGTCGTTGCCCTGCTGCATATTTTACAGCTTCTGCTTCCACCAATCAAAATGAGAAAAGTGCAAAACAATCTGATTCTGGAAAAGACCATTGGCATGGAATACTTGATGAACTTCTAAAAGGCGGCTGTGTTTCTGCAGAAAAACTTATGAAAGAGAATCTAGGAGGTTTTCTAAATTTCATGGAATCAGTTTCAGGTATGTAATACTTTATTTATCAGGCATGTATCACTGTATGTTAGCATGTCCACATTTGGCCTTTGTGTCACTAAACCCTACATTCAATCAATCAATCACTGTATGTTAGAAACTTTGTACCATCAATGGATCCAATTAATGAAGCAAATTTTGAGGTGGATTGAACTCAATTATATCAACATGCTGCCATTCCTAAGGTCTTCTTTTCATAGCAACAGTTTAATTTCAAAATTTAAAGTGATTTGGCCAAGATAAAAAAACCTTGTTGTGTCATTGTGGTCTCATTTTAAAATCCATCGAATTCATGTTCAAGTTACTCTGATTTTATCACCAGTAAATGGTTGGTGCAAACAAAGATACATTTTCTCTTAAGAGTTATCTAATTTTCTCACTTTCTTTCAACCACATGCCATATTTTTGAAAGTAAAATAAGTCTATTTTTTATTTGTTCTATTTTTAAAGCCTTTTAAGGATTAGTATTTGAATGGAATTAAAAATATTGGCAAAGTTTAATTAATTTAGGTGATGTTTTTAACAGTATAATTTGATGAAACATCAAATTGCAGCAAAGATTATCAAAATTGTAAAAAAATAAATAAATTAACGACTTTTTAACTCCAAATGAACTCATTCCACTTTCAGAATAAATAAAGGCCAGATTCAAAAATAAAGGTCAGATTCCCTAATACAGGCTCATATATAAATTGTTCTTCTACTAGATATATTTTTCATTATTAAATGAATATGATTGAGCTAATATAATTTCTATACAAAACATAGAAATTAATCTGTATTGTTTTCTTTGTTAAAACTATATTCTTTTAGGAAATATGGATGTAAAACTTGAAAGGGATCCACCTAAACCTAGCAACTCTAGTGAAAAACAAGATAATAAAAATGATGAGAAGAATAATAATGACTCTTCTAAGGTAGAACCTACACCCACTGCTTCTACAGCTCTTCCAGCTGAAGAATATTTTCAAAAGATAACTAAAGCAGTAGAAGATTTAGGCTTTTCTAATCTCTTTCCTACTGAAGTAAGCATTTATTGGATAGACAAAAATTGCACTTTAAAAAAAAAATACCAGAATGTCTTCTAATAATCAAAATTCTGTTCGACTCAAATTTTGTCTCTTGAACACAATGCCTAGTCCTCTTAAAATTGGTTATTGGAATAGATCGATAGTTCTGGAGATCCCTGCTATATGTTAAAAACGTTCTAAGATTTACTTTCTCATTGTTTAGATACGTTTTCTGAACTTATTCTTGTAGTACGAGGGTCAATTTTGCTTGAACAATGCTACTAAGTCCATGAGATATCTGAATAACATTATTAAATAGAATAAAAATATTTCTAAGCATTTGTAACTATATTAGCAGTTTAAAGGAAATGTGTTTTCTTCTTTTTTTTGGGAAAGTAAACTTTAGGAATATTATGCAATTATTTTAATGACCAACTGTGATTATTATATCTATTTAAAACATACAGAAAATAACAACAATGGTTTTTTTTGGGATGGGGGGAATAAAATCTAATTAAAGAAACAGCTTTTGTTACTTCTGCCCCATTTTGAAATTATTTCATTTGGTGTTTTTCTGCATCATAGAAAAGAGAAAGCATTTTCAAAGCAACTAGAATTAATCTAACACAGTGCATGTTCAATAATGCTAGAAATAAGTTGAAAAATCTTATAGTTTCTGTAGCAGAAGTCTGTAATAAAACTTCTCAAAAGTAACTGGATTGTTTAAAATAATTAATAATCTTAAGTGTTCAAATATAGAACTATTTTTTAAAACTTTTATAAATAAAGTTTTATTTTCTTAAGCTTCTGGTTATAAACTATGCATATTTATAACTTTTTGGTTTATATAAGAATATTTTTTGAAAAGTAATCTAGTTTTTTTGAGACCATACTATATTGTAACTATATGCTCTTATAAGATTGCTTTAAAATGGTGATGTATGACATAATTATCATAACAGATTGTTGAGAATCATAGATTACTTATTTTTAAAAGTTTTAAGAGTAATACTTAAGTTTTTGTTAATTTTAAGGACATTGTAAGAAAATCTGATAAGCTTGCAGAGGAAAGAAATTTAGATGAAAAAAAGCAGTCATTGGAGAAAAATGACTCATCTGCTGTTGGAGATTCAGTAGAAAAAAGACAGGGAGAAAACTCTTCTAAACCTTGTGGTCTTTTTGGTGATAATGTAAGTATTATTGTGCATATTTGGAAATTTAATTTTTAAAACTGATATCTTTTTATTACTGCTTCCAAACTAATTTTGTAATTCTACTGTCAGGAAACTTATTGTTCCTTGTACAGTCTACAAAAAAAAAAAAAAAGAAAAAAAAGAAGAGATATCACCCTGAATAACTTTTGTTATAATGATCAGATCTTTATGTACTAAGTGTCAATCTTAATGGTTTTTGGGGGGTGACTTCAATTATGTTAATTTGTTAGTGCTAACTATTAATTAAGTTACAAAATCAGACACAAAAATGCATCTTCTCTGAATAAACATCTTTTTTTTTTTTTTTTTACATACTTGGATGTTTGACCCTCAGAGTAGGAGGGCAAGTAAAATTTTGAAAAGATTGGATTATAAATTAGGGGGGGGGGTAATAAGTTATATATATTTGGCGCTAGTACCAAAGAACAGCCAAGCAAAGTCGCTGCTGTCAATGACTATTTTAAGACCTATATACTAATTCAAGAGAGGAATATTTAATTTTAAGGGTATCCACGCATCTGGAAAGTCATGAAAAATCATGGATTTTGGTATTGAACAAAATTTGTCATAAAATGTCATGATTTTAACTATGTTTTTAAAAAAATCATGGAAAGTCATGGATTTAGGTTGCTAAAAAATCTAATTTTTAAAATGGAATTTACGCCACACTCCCCAATTTCATGGAGTTCTGATATTCCGATCTCAATTTGTAACAAAATCCTCTTTCGCAGTTATATTTTATTAAAGTATAAAATGCTTTTATCTTTTTTTAAGTATTATGGTGTTCTTTCAAAAACGAAAGAACATCATTTCTAGAGCGAGTTATCTTTTAAACTTCTGTGATTTTAGAATTTTTTTTTGTTTATTTATTATTCATTTTTTAAATTTTATTAATTTAAAATTCTTGCTGAAGCAAGCAAGTCATTGTCCAATTAGGAGTATTTCTTCCCTTTCCGATGAACAAGTAAAGTATCTTTAGAATATAATTCTGCAGAAAAAAAAAATCTGGTATTATATATGATTTTATCTGACATTATTTGGGTTTTAATGTTGTTTTAACTTCATTTATCTGAGGATTGCATACTAAAATCAAATTTGCTTAATTTATTATAACTATATACAAAATTTTATTGTTGTAATTTATCTTCATTAAAAGAAACAACTAATTATTTGTTAAAATTATATTATTTTTTACTTTATTGATTTGTATTTTATACTCTTCTTAAAGGAAGCTTCTGATGGCTGGACAATCTTGAATAAACAAGAAGAGGAGAAAAAGGACACAGCATCTGCAAATGACAATGGAGCCAAACCAAAATACTCCGGTATCTACCCTTCAATATTCGAAAAAGTACCATCCTCAGAAGGCTCTGAATCTGCTGGTGAAGTCTGTGCTGAGACAAAAGTCAAAGAAATTCCCCCTGTACAGACAGGCTCAAGTCTGACCGATGCTCAAATCTTACCAAAGCCTGCTGTTGCTGCAGTAAATGAAAGTGACAAGTTTGCCAAACTGAATCAAAATGAAAATGTGGCTATAAATTACGGTAAGTATTTTTGAGTGATAGTGTGATAAAATATAACATACAATTTTTATGCATTTCTTGAAGCATTAATTATTTTGAGGGAATTATGATTTGTTTAGTTGAGGTTTAATTTAATTTTCTTTTTATTATTTTAAAACTTGGCAAATTTAATTTTATTAAATTGTACACTATATTTATAACATCTAAAGATAATACTGTACTTCGATTTTTTTTCTTCTTTTTATTATTTTAAAACTTTAATTATTGAATTGCAATCTGGTTCTACTATCTAAAATCAAAGTCTTTTAATATATTAAGTTAAATAGCAATTTGGTTACAGTTTTCTAGTCATTATTAAGGTAGATGTTTTAGAATATTTATTCATAAAGTTTAAGTTTTTTTTAGCCTATTAAGCAAAGTAGTAATTCAGTTACAGTTTTCTAGCTATTATTTTTATCAATGTTTTAGAACATTTATTCATAAAGTTTAATTTTTTTTTAAACATTGTCTTAAAATGTTCTGCAAATGTAAAAGCCGGAAAGAAACTCATTTGAATAGTAATGTACACTGTGTACGGTGTCTATGTGGCTATATTTCTAAAAATTAGTTTCTATAGTTAGGAATAGAATATTTAACAGAGGGGGAAAGTGATATATGTTCAATTATTTGCATCAGAGAGGGGAGGCAACACCATCTAGCGGAAAAAGAGATCCTATCAGTGACTAAGTTAAAATTACATTTTAACAATATTAAAATTTTACTATAATAAAAATTGTAATGGTTAGTTATTTTGTTGCAAACAGCAAAAATGTAAATAAAAATAATATGGAATATACTTCAACTCATTGAGTTAGAAACAGAAATGAATTATATGATAGTTGTTCAACAGTGAATGAAATTTGGAGACTTATAAGCATATTTTTCCTATCTTCTCTAATTATGGGGACAAGGCGTATTTATGTATTATAACTAGAACAAAGTATGAAAATAAAAAGTTTTCTCATATATTAAAGTAAGATACTATCATTTATTTACTTAAGCTCTAAATCTACAATTTTTATGTTCACTTGAGAATGCACCTTTTAACTGGCTGAGAAATGTTTATCGCATGTAAAATATTTTGTGCAGAATATAATAGAATGTTTGAACAAATTAACTAATGAAGTTTTAGGGCATTAAAATGCTGAAGAAAAAAATTTCAATAAAAAATAAGCTTTCACTATAGTATTATTACTTACGTAAAGAAAGAATTAAAATTTTATTAATATATTTGCAGCTTGTTGCTTATTTAAATAAGTTTATTTGCCTCTCTGAGCATTTACTCATTTCTTCACTTTACCGGACTATGTTTGTATTGACTCGAAGATGAAATTAAAAATGAAGAAATGAACATTTGGAATTTGTTGACTAAGTTTTTAAGAAAAAAAAAACTGTATGTTTCTATAATAACTTTATTTGTTAAAAATATCTTAGAATTAAGTTTTTTTTTTAAAAAATGCGTTATAGTCATAATTTACATTATTTTTTAAAAATTTATATTAAACTAATTTTTAGAACTATTTTCTTTAACTAAAATTAAATGAACAATTTACCATTCTTCACTTTCAGTTTTGAATTTAATGAATAACTCAGAGGTCCCCCCATGTGTGCCTTAAACTATAAAAAGTGGTGGCTGTTGAAAACAAAACTCTACCTTAAACAGATTAAAATGAACAACATTTCTTAGGCTTTTTCTTTCAGTTTACAATTGAAATTGATTGAACAGAATATTTTTGTTTTAAATATGTATTGCAATGTAGGCCATGGTGGTAGTTATAATTATTAAATATGAATTAAGTTTCTGCCATGCATTATTATATTTAATTAATTTGTAATAATTCTACAGCTACATTTATTATGTTTATATAAATTCATTGTTAGAATATTTTTGTATTCCTTTCACAGATCCTGAAATAATGAATGCTTTGGTCAAAATGCAAGCCATGGGATTTACAAATGAAGGAGGGTGGCTTGAGCGACTTTTGATTACAAAAGATGGAAACATCAATGCAACTCTTGATGCTTTATATCCCAATACCCGTCGCCGTTAGATATTTCTTTGATAGACTCGCTATTATTTTAATCTTTACTTCTTGTATTCCATGTACTGTTTTATTTTGTAGTGAGAACTGTTTATTTTTCAGTAAATATATATGCACATATGTTATGATCTTTATATTTTGTGTCTTTCATACTACATATTCAATATTGTTTAGGAAAAAGATTTTTTTAGGCTCATTTATGAATTATTTTTAATTTACAGATGTAAATCATGTGAAGAAAAATATAAATTTAATTTTTATTCTCATACATGATAACCCTAAATAATATTTTTAAAAAATAATTATTATTTTTATCAAAGATTGCAAGGTGGGTAAAATATAGTGACATTTTTTATCAATGACCAAAGTAAAGCTGCTTCGAAAATAACAGATTTGACTCTTAATCATGTAAAAGACTGTTTTAATGTTTTTTTTCCTGTGTGGATTCAACTAGTTTTATACGTATGGAATATAACTAACTACTTGTTAAATTAGAGATGAATATTGGCTAATTGTTTTTTTTTCCTTATTAAACTACTATTCTCACATTTAAATACACTTTATCAAATATCCATTCTAATGCATCACGATTATTTTACTTGTGATTTAGTAGACATATTATTTTTTTTATTGTCAAGTTTTACTTTCTGGGCCATTTTTATTTGTGTTAAACAGAAATATGTAACATATTTTGTCATTTGTGCAAAATGTTGTTTTCTTGGGTGTTTAAAATAAATTCTTGTGAAAAAAATTGGAACATTTTACTCACGCAAAATTTTGTAAATGTGATATTATTATCAAAAATATTTGTTGTAAGTTAAGTTTTAATAAAACATACTCTTTAAACAACTTTCTGTTTAGAATTCATTTATTTTCATTCATACTTTTTCTCTCTCTCCGTCTTTACCGTTCTTCGAAGATGTTGACCTTTGGTTGTAAATAATAAAATGGGAAAATTTTTCAAGACAATTTTGCATATTTTTTTTAAAAGTAAGAAAATAAAAAGTTGCAATTTTTCTTAACTAATCTGACAATTATCTATTTTTACGTATCACTTTCCTTAAAATAAATCACTTAAATTATAATGGAAGGAAACATTAAAAAAAAAAAAAATATTTAGAAGTTTATTTTTTAATATTGGCATTTTTTATAGTTGCAACTTTATTTTCATTTATGAGTAATTCATCATGTGTATCTGTATTTATTACCACAACGCTAAATGGATCATTGGTGCAAGATTTCAATCTCATCTTTCTTCTTTTCATTGGCACGACATCCCAGGATGGGCCCTGGCCTTCTCAACAAGCCTATGCCAAGACATTCTTCCCTTAGCCAAGGTTCTCCAGTTTAGTATCTTTAAAACTTGAAGGTCCTTTTCAAGGCAGTCTAAAAATCTTAGGCTTGGTTGTTCTCTTTTTCTTGTACCTGTTGGCCTGGCACTGAAGACTTTTTTGGTTGTCCTGCTATCCTCCATTCTCACAATGTGGCCTGCCCATTTAATCCTTTGAATTTTGATGACATCAGGTTCTTTATATGCTTTGTAAAGTTCCGTGTTTGATCTTCTAAACCATGTACCGTTTTTACCAGGTCACCAAAAATGCCGTGCAGTATTTTTCTCTCGAATCTAGCTATCGTATTTTCATCTCCACGGGTCATTGTCCAGGTCTCACACAATCTCATCTTTGATACAAGAAGAAAAAAAAAGACTCATTAAAGAGAATTTAGTGTTTCTTAAAGGAAAGTCTCATTCTTTGCAATCTGTCAGTATTGCTAGCTTTAGAACAAAAATTGAACATATTTGGATTAGCAAATTCTACAAATAACCCTTTTTGTGAGACTAATGACATGTTGGACATGGCAACATTGTAGCTGCTTAATGCTATTTACTCATTGTATCTTTATTGTGTTTATGAACTGAATTAGGTTGCCTGTCATAGACTGATAGCTATCATAATTGAGGACCAGCATAGGATTAAAAATAACGCAGTTTTCTGACACTTTTTCCAACTCTTTATTCAGAAGTACTCTAGAACAGTGACATACATTAGAGGTGGATCTGCGGTGGCAATGGGCATAATTGACATAGAGGATTAAATGCAGCACAAAATCTTATATTATTCAGATTTGTCATTTTAAAAAATCTAATGATTTTTAAAAAAAATTGAAATAAAAAATTTCATTATCTCAGATTTGTTAAATATTATAAGTGTAGGGACCATATAATAATTTACTTCTGATAAAAATTTTCAGCTTCAATACTCATTTATTTACATTTAAAAATTTTTTTTTACAATCATTTCATTAAAGACATACTGATCCATGTAACATATTTAAATAAAAAATTATTAGGGGCCATTAACTATATAGGGTGCGTAGCGTTTTTAAAAAGTGCTTAAAGGTGCTTTTTTGGGGATTTCGTTTTTAAAAGCTTTTAAAGGTGCTTTTTTCAGCTGGCGTTTTTAAAAAGTGCTTTTTTTCGAGTAATTGTTTTTCCCTTCAGTGATATCTGGTGGATCCCATGCATTTCACGAAAAAAGGGAAGTTTGCTACGTAATCATTTACGCGGACTTCATGTCGTACCCACGTTATGACTTGCGCATGCACACTTGAAACCGAAACCCGAGTGCTCCAATTCGGATAGAGAATATCAGATCCTTATGAAATGTTTTTCTTTTTAATTTTTTTCTTGTTTATTTTATTTTACTTCTAACACTTTTTTTGAAGTAGGGGGTAAGGGTACTTTTGTTCTGAGTTCAGGGTCAAGTTGAATTCACTCAGTGATGTGGGAAAGTACTGATTGTTTCGATTTACACCCGTTTCTTTTTGGTTTTTTTTTTTTAACGCTAAAACTGTTTATAAAAAGTTTTTGTTTTTCAATAATATCATTGATTGAATATGAATTTTTTGAGTGCTTGAAAATTTTTGTGAAGTGCTTGAAAAGTTTTTAAAAAGTGCTTATTTTTGATTCAAAGATTTGGCTACGCACCCTGCTATACATTTATAATATGAATTTATACAAGTCTTAGATTACTTAATTCTTTACAAATCTTTATAAATTCAGTGTGATCGAATTATACATTACAAATTATATAAACATAATATTGTTAAATGTTTTGTTGAATATGCTTTTATAAATAACTTTTATTTAAATTTAAAAAAATACTCAATAACCTTTTTAAATAATAGTAAAATTTATTATAATTTAGAATTAAATTTTTCAACTAAATTAAATATTAGTTTAAAAAATATGTAAGTAACACACTTACATAAGTAATTATTAATTAAATAAAATAGAACGAGCCACTTAATATTGAATAAATTTGAAATTGTGTATAAATTGTTTTTATGGCGGCTAATATAATCAAGAAAAGAGTTCTGTTTCAGAAACTAGTTGTTTTATCATGATCATGTAAAGTGTTTGAAAATTATTTTGCATTTTGTTAATGTATATATAAGGAGCTTTCAACAGTACGAAGGAAATGTTTTTATTAGGGCTCACATCCTAATTCTAAAAGTTTTTTAAAGTGCTTAAAAATATTTGAGTACTTTAAAGGTGGCTAATTTTTGTTGAAAATTTGGTTACGCTCCCTGCCTTTGCCATCAGGCTAACTGTGGAAGGTTTTTCTCTTCATGTAACGCAAATGCTGCTTAGTTCCACCAAAAAAGTTCTCCACAGAAGCTAGCTTGTTCAAATGCTTGATTCATAAGTTCCCTATCTTCAAGATTGAGATCAAAATTATAAGGCTATGAAGATAAACATTGATGGCCGTAAACGCAGAATTGGGTCGGCTGTCCAACACCGGTTATAAAATAAAATACATTGGGGAAGAGCTCAAGATAACTTTAGGGCATTAAGCCAGCAAGATCTATAATCCAAGATTTAATCTGAACTAGAGATAACAGAATTATTGAGCTCAAAATATTTGTTCCAATGCGTGATCTGCAGGAGTTTTATTATCATCTAGATTGTGATCAAAATTACAAGGCTACGAAGATAAACAGTGATGGCCGTATACTCAGAATTGGGTCGACTGTCCAACGCCATCCAAGACTTAATCTGAACTAGAGACAACAGAATTTTTGAGCTCAAGATTTAATATACCAGATAAAGGATAAGATATATTATTAGAGATGATCTATTTTTAGATCATGCTATTTTAATACTTATAAATTAATAAAATATAGCAATTTTTATAATAATTGACTTGAATAAAAATTATAATTTTTTTGGTGTTGTATAATGTTAGTACAAACTACAATTTTGAATTCAACGTAAATGATTTAGAAACGATATATATTAATAGAACAAAATTATATTCTTTTTATTTTATGAAATAGTCTCTTTTAAGACTAGATTTTCTTATTTTACTTCTTTTCCACCTAAATTCTGAATAATCCTATTCAGTATAGTACATTTTACAAATACTATTGTAATCAATAGGAAAATTAAAAAATGGAAAGTTCAAAAAAATTATTTTCTATTGGAGATATATATGTAAGGAGCCAGCTACTCATGATATATTGACACAAATAGAATATTAAGGCTTAATACAGCCACTAGCATTTATACATCAAAATTAAATTTTGTACTATGTATATTTCTCATAACAACTGTCAAGTCCATAGTTGTTCTGATAATCCTTGTAAAAATAATTATGCGTTTATTAGTCTTGATATTCAAAATTTTTTTTTTGTTTGCTCAGAACTTACAATTTGGATGAATACAGGGTTTTAAAAGAATCATTTGAATTTTTTAAAACTTACTTTCACTGGACAAGAATTAATAAAAATTAGACTTTGCAATGTCAAAACTAGTAATTCAAAACATTTTCCAGATGAAAAGGAATTAGCTTTAAAAACGGAACCATATCTTTATCTTCCCCTTTTCCTCAGCAGAATGAATTATTGCTGAATCAGTATTGGAGCAAAACTTTTCCTAATTAACCACACTGTTTTTTTCTTTATCAGAATCGTTTTCTATTTGTGTTATATACCTTTTTTTAACATAAATCAGAAACAGGTACTTGACCCCAAGTTCATATACAGCGAGTGTCTCAGATTTTATTTTTTAAAAGACTATCAAAAACTTTGTAAAAAATAGTCTTTGTTTCCTCTAGGAGAGGGATGGCGAACCAATGGCACGCGTGCCATTTATGGCACCCGACACACCATTCTAGGCACGCCACCGATCACAGACTTCACTATGAAGCGTATTAACAACTAATATAAAATCACAAAAAACAAACAAAATAAATAAAAAATTGCTAACAAAAAAATTAACAATTAGTGCCAAAAAACATTTATGACCATAAAAACCAAACTAACAATAACCGGCAGAAAAAAAAAAAAATAGCAGTCCTGCTTAAACTAACATCTTACAACCTAATATAAGTTATTTGTCATCTAATCTGCAACAACAGAAGTCACACTGATGTTACTTTAAGTTGAATTACTCTGATAAGTGACACATTGCAAAATGTTTTTTTTTTTCACAGTAAATAAAGAGTTTTGAGTTTATAGTATTTATTATTATTATTTTCCCAATAATCCGAAGTCAAAATTATTTGACGGCACGTCTATGACCTCATTAAACAATATTTTGAAAAAATGGCACGTTGGTGCATAAAGGTTCGCCACCCCTGCTCTAGGAGGTACTCTAGAGCAGTGTTCCCCAACCCCCGGTTGGTGGATCAAATGGTATCGGGACGCCCATTTCATTGAAGCTAAATTTAAATTCCTGGGTTTATACCCCAAATTAAAAATATTTGTGTTCCACTGAAATTTTATTTATTTAAAAAAAAGGGGCCCCCGAAGGTAGTCACATAAATTTTTTGAATGTTTCAAAATGTTTAAAAAAAAAAAAAAAAAAGAAAACCAATGCAAATATTTTCTCTTTCAATTAGTCGTAATAAAAAAAAAATCTATCCATCATAACTGTAAATATCATAAATAAAACACGAAAGCGAGGAGCGAAATTTACATTGGAACTAATGAAGAACTTCGTCTTCTCGGATCTGAAGAACTTCATCAGAACTCGATCATGACTCACTGATTTAGCGTTCTAGTAAGTTAAAATGTTAAATCACTTTATATTTATTTTTTGGTGTAACTGAATTTTATTTTGAAAGCATTTTTAAATACAATTAAATTAAAAAATCAACGTCCCCCCTCCCAGCGGGCCGTGGAACACTGCTCCAGAGTATCACAGTACTCTTTTAGGTTAACAATAGGAAGCCAGACAGGGGGCGCAGCCAAATCTTTCAGCAAAAAATAAGCACCTTTTAAGTTCTTTTTAAGCACTTAAAAAATATTTTTAAGCACTGTATACATTAAGAAAATGAAAAAAATTTCAGAGACTTAACATGATCATGATAAAATAACTAGTTTCTGACGAAGAACATTTTTCTTGATTATATTAGCCACCATAAAAAGATCGAGAGATTTTTTGGTTCGATTTCAGAAGGTGGAAAATGAAGCCTGAATTTTTGAATATCTTGTAAAATGCAGCAGAGTTGCACATGAGAGTGCAAGAATCTCACTGAACCCAGCTCAGTATACGCACATGTGGACCCCAAGTATTTCATCAAACATGTAAAATGATTGCCGCTGTCATACCCTACGAAACGGCAGTATGTCGAAATGGATTATGAAAACGTTGAATAGAACAATGTGAATACCACACTTATGCATAATACATGGCGAAAATTGACATGGTAAAGAAAAACTCTCATTTGCGAAAAGGGAAATTTAAGCACTTTTTAAAAATACTCAATAAAAAAAGCACCTTTAAAGGCTTTTAAAAAACGAAAATAAGCACCTTTAAGCACTTTTTAAAAAGCTATGCACCGTGCCAGAGGCACACAGGAGGCGAATTTTTGTACTGAAATGTGTGGAAGTGATACGTGTATTGGCGATCGAAATGGGCTACAGGTGGAGCTGAGCGGAACTCTCTATCATTAGCGGAACTCTCTATGGAAACATTTCGCATGCTTTCACCATTAGCGTATGGAGAGTCATAGAAGAAGGAAGTACGTTAGATTCTGTATTGATTTTCATATAGATTAAAATCTTTCAAGCTGGGAAACTATATGGAACTGAAAGCTACATTAAACATAGTTCTAAAAGAAAGCATCATGGAAATTTTAAAAACTATTTTAATTAATTAAAAACGAAAAATATTAAGAAAAGGAAAAATATTGTAGTACATTCCTATACTACTTAAAAGAGGAGAGGGAAGGGCCAAAGACGTGGAACCGGTCTTCTCCTCGAATGGGGTATTCGAGCGTTGCGATCACTTATACTAATACTAATATCACCAGTATGGGAATTTTTTCAATGTATAAATATTTCTTGTTTTATATATTGAATGCATTGGAAAAACAATTGATAAAAAATAGTTCTTCTTTATTGATACCAATAGTTTCATAAAGTATCAGGTCTGCAGCTGATTTAAAAAATACAGAAGAACTTTCCTTAAGTCTTTCTCAATATTAATTATTGAATGAAGATTAATATTGAGATTACATTGATTTTCTCAGTTTCAGTATCATAAAGATTTTTCTCCAAACTTAAACATTTCATTATTTATTCCTGTGAAACTTCTTTAAAATTAAACAAACCTAAATGATACTGAATTTATATTTTAATGAATCTAATAATAAGTATGAAATTTATTTTTCATATTACTTGATATAACACAACAAATATAAAAAATAATAATAATAATTTCATTGACTTCTTTCCTAATGATAATCATTAAATTAATATCAATATGTAGACTTTATGGTTTGTAATAAAAATATTTGTGAAAAATTTATATTCTTCACATTTTTGTAGTAAAATAACAAGAGTTTAGATCTAGGTTTGAGAAAACCTAATAACATCTATAAAAGATATACTGTTTGTTTTACACAAAATTAAAATATATATACACAATAAAAATACAGCAATTAATAAAAACATACCAGATAATTTTGATGCCATTGTCAATGATAATAATTGAATCAAGATCAATATGAAGACAAATTATTTCTATTGATATACAAATTATAAAAAATATCATAAAAATACAGCAGAGCTAATAAAAAAATATGATTTCATGTTATTGTCAGTGATAATTATTGAATCAAGATCAATATGAAGACTAATGGCTTGTATCAAATTTTTTTTTAAAGATTTATACTCTTCACTTTTTTTAATGAAATTGCAAAGCTGTTTTTTTTTTCTTTTTCAAAGAAATCCGTTAAATTGGAATCTACATTGATGTAAACTAATAAAAAGGGTAAAACATATTTTCAGTATCAATTAATACAAATTAATCTGAATCAGTGATACTCCGATATACAATTGGACTAAGTGGATACAACTGATACAAAAATACAGAAAAATTTCTCTGTAAATCTTTCTCAATGATAATTATTGAATCAAGATCAATATCAAGACTATAGTGGTTTGTATCACAAAGATATTTTTTAAGATTAATACACTTCACTTCTGCTCCCGTTAAATTGTCATACAATTTGACAAATCCGACTGATTTAGAATTTTTAGGCGAAATTCCTAATATAGCAAACAATTCTAATTCATCTTCATAATCTGCAGCTAGAATGTATTGATCAGATACTGAAGCAACAGGATAGATTTTACTATATTTCCTACCAAAGGAACTGAAAATGTCTGTTTTTGTTGATAAAGCAGAAAACCCCATTGTATAGAGTTCTTTCAACTCTGATGCTCCAGATGTATTGAAAAGTTTATAGCAATGAATGTTATGAGTAGTAGTGTGTAAAATTCTACCAGAACCATCAGGGTGAAAAGTCACTGTATGTCCATTGTCACACAGCCATACACTACTCATTATGCTACCATTTTTTGCTTCTCTGCTTTGAGAAACATTTTTAACAGTAAATAATGCTTCATCACGAGTTTTTTTCAGATAAATATAATGCAAAGGGTAGCCACCAAAATGAACAATTTGGTCATGACATTGAACATTAAATAAAAGAGGTGGTGCAGAATTAACAATCAAATTAAAGGGGAGTCCTGTAGGAAAGACACCAACTTTGCCTTCTGAACCATACTGTTCACCAATTCTGTACGGTTGTAAATTTCCTGCAAAAATACAAAACAATTAAATATTAATTGCACACAAATAATTATTTTATTATATCTGAAAGATAATTGCAGAAAATATATTAAAATACAAGAAAATTCAACATTCACATAACTTTTTTTTCTTCTTCTGGATACCCAACACAGCTATCAAATTCAATGTGTAAAAAATAATAATATTTTTCAAAAAATAAATCACGTTTTTATTCATGAAACTGATAGAGTATGAAGCACTTGTGGTTGGTTAAGCTATCAATTGCTTCATACTCTTTCAATAATTCAATTTGGTAAAGAGAAGCATTATTTATTTTTTGAATCATTCTTTCAAATCTTTAAGTAGAATATTTTAAAAGATAAAATTTAAAAAAACCATGTGTATGTGAGTCATACCACCCTAATTTTGAGTAGAAGGTCAAATCTACATGTATCTGAAAACATATGGACATACAATGCTATCTTCCGGCAGTAATTTTATCTTTTAAAACGTTCCAGGACACTGGCACAAATGGCCCGTGAACGAGGCCCGGGGTGAACGAGGAAACGCTGTCACACTGGCGTGTCGGCCTGGAAGTGAGTGTGTTTCTTACTGGCATGTACATGTGACAGTCGGCACGAAAGGGTTAAAGGAGGTTGGTCGCTCTTAGGGGTTACTTCTATCGACTTCAAAATTTTATTCAAGGTTACATGATTTTTTGCAAGAGATTTCAATTTTACTCAGTGTCATTTTATTGGCGCGGAAATGCCACTTGCATTGGTCTCATGAAAACTGTATTGACGAATTAAATTTTGCATAAATTAAAATGATTCCTACTGATAAAATTAAGTGTAAAACCAAATTTACCAATTATGAATGATAGAACTATTTTAAATAAACAAACAATTATGTTTTTGTTTAAATTTGTATTTTATTTCATATCAGAAAAATTAGTTTACTTTATAAAATAAGAGGTTTGTTTGTTTGAGATACTTAGTTTTTTCCAAAATAACTTTTTCTAATTTAACTTTTAACTCTAAAACTAAATCATTGACGATATCGTCTTTAGGGTACTGTAACATGAGGTTGTCAATCTCTTTTAGCAATTGTCAAAAAGCTCTAAATAAGAGCCACTCACAAAAATAATACACATGAATCTATTTATTTGTTTTGTTAATATTTCTTATTTTGATATTTTTTCTTGTTTCCTTATTTGAACTTTTCCTCATTTGGTGCGGAGGTTTACCCGGGAGAGGTTTTCATGGTCTCTCTTGAAGTTTTTCTTCAAAACAAAGCCTACGGAAAAAATTCTATGCCTCCTAAAAGTGGTTGTAAATAGAGAAGGTAGCTACACAGAGGTGGTCTATCTTGGAGGTTTCACTGCATCTCTGCCAAAATATTTAGCAAGTTTTCTAATAACCTGATACAAAAAAATGTTAAAAAATAATTATATACAGACGGAAGTAAACAGTGAAAAAGCAGTTATGCCCTTTCCATTTTAACATATAAAATTATAAGTAATTTATTAAAAGCAGGGCTCGAAATAACTCAGAAATTTTACCCGTCCCCAAGGACGGCTTGTCCAACAATGTACCAGTCCTCCTTTGAAACTAACCCGTAGCTTCTAAATAAATAAAAATATCATTTTCTCTTATTTATTACAAACATTTATATAAATTGCACAATGAATTAGTAGTAACTAGGATTACATTATACAGTAATATAGGAAATACTAGGTTACTAATAGTAACCTAGTATTTCTTTTATGAAGTCATTTAAATGACAAAGGTCAAGTTATCCGGAATGACAATTTATCTGATGGTACTGCGATTTTTAAATGAATCAAATATGACGTTTGCCAGTTCCACAACCAGGCCAATGATTTACAGAGGTTTCTGCACAGAAATCTGAAAGGGGTTTTCCATTTAGGTAGATGTTCATCATTGCGTTTAACGCTTCTCGTTTAAGATCAGAATGTAATGTGTTTTTTTGTAAGTTCATTGCTGAAAAGACCCTTTCAACAGTCCCAGTACTCCCAAACAGAGAAAACATCAATTCCACCATACGCAGTATGCTGCTATATTTCTAGATTAGAGGATCATTTTAGAAGTGAGGAGCTAGACACTTGTAAGATAACAAAAATTAAAAATGTATCACGAACATTAACGGGCAAATGACCCTCCGCGTGGACGTCAGATTCGAGAAATCCGCATTCCGTGGTGAATTTTTGACCGCCGATGACGGGCGGTTTTTCGAGCACTGATTAAAAGTATTAGGCAATGGCACTGATGATTGCAGTAGATGCAAACGGGTACTAAAAAAGAAATAATTCCACAATATTAATTATTGCTGATTTAATTACTGAATATGATGTTTTAGATACTTATAAATGTAAGTAGCTAAGAAAAAGTATAAGCATTTTACTACATGCATAAGCTTGATCATTCAACCGGTAACACTGAGCCTATAGGCTACTAACATTTATTTACAATTATTTGTCAATTATTATTTGATTCAAGTTATGCTTTAATGGTCAAGAATAAGAGTATTAAGGTTGGCAAAAAATTAGATACTTTTAAAAAAAAAACGACAGTTGTTTTTATTTAAGTTCAATACTTTCACGAATATGTAAAAACAAAGACCCTATTTGTCAGTTAGATGTCAAATCAAGGAACAAAAGAAAAAAAATCTGTTATTCTAAATTACTCACGGTAGAACAAGTCTTTTTTCATTATTTATGTACACAAACTACACATTTAAAAAGTTTTAAAAATATTTGCATTTAAATAAATATCATACTAAATTATATAATTGAAATACATTGATTAAATAGTAAATTATTTTTAAAATTGTAATTTAAATCATGATTAAAAACGTGTTAATACTGCCCTGAATCACCAATAATTTTAAACGTAATGATTTATGCCTAATTTTGAATATAATTCATGCACAAATGAATCCTAATTTTGAATATAATTCACATATATCTAGTACATTAAAGAATACCTTCATTTAACACATCTTTGAAATTGTACATGTGTACACCATGCTGTCCCATTCCTAAAATCATCATCTGATCAGATACATTGACGTGTTGGCAGTTTCTTCCAAATGCACTACGCTTAATTTCAAACATTGCATGAAATTCGAGAGGGTAAACTGTAAAAACTGCAAGAATAGTTACAACATTATTTGATTTCTTTGTCCCTTTAGGATTTAGCACCGAGTTGAGAACAAATTGCTCAGAATAACTATTCCAGTCACAATGCAAGAATGATATATTTTCGTTATACGGCTTAATATATATTTCATTCATTAAAGATCCATTCTCCCATTTGTGCTGACAAAGCCAATCATCTTTAGTTATGTATATAATATATCTTGACAAAGGTATATTTTCTAGAGGATTATCAACAGATTGTTTAATAGTTTTATAAACTGGTGAAGTGTATGTAATTGCATCAATAATTTTTCTCATAGCGGATGTTTGTTTGAAAGAATGAGAAAAACAAGGCCTACAATTTTTACCGTAAAGTGTAGTACACACATTATAATTGTTGAAATAAAAATGCCCTCCTTCATATATTATTGGCTTCAATGATTTTTCCCACCACATATTATAATAAGTCCTATTTTCTGCTAAAATAAGATTCCGTAGGATTTTATTCGCTCGATACGGACTAGACTTCGGATATCGTTCCCGGTTTAACAATAAAAGTAAAACATTTTTTTCTCCGCGATTATTAGACATTATGTTAATAAAAATAAGCCAATTTCTTAAGTATCGACGTAATTAGAAATCATATTGCTTCGGAGGATAGCTAATCACCGCTACAGCGTCGGACAACAAGAAATAAACTCTTTGTTTATTTACATTGATCATATTGTTTGATTGATGACTTGCTTTGAGCTTTCTATTTTTGTGCAATTGCAAGAACAGTCAATGACTAGACAATTACTAGATTTTCGATAACACGATATATTTAACAAGTAAACGAAGATTCATGGACCCATTCTCTGCAAAAAAATTTGCGTATACGAAATCAGAAGTGCAAGCAAGAAACTTTTGTGCTCTCCGTAGAAGTTCTAGTACTTTCCTAATTCCTCACTATCCCTATCGAATTTTTCTCTGTTCTAGTGACAACACAAGTCACCTAACACAACACCTATCCTCTAGGAAATTATCGTTTTTCAAAATTTTGAAAAATTCGAGGTAAATTGTCATTAAATTAATCAAAATTTGGCTATTCCCTGACTAGATAATCTTATTACCATCGAAGTTTTGTGTCAGATGATAATTCAAGCTTCCATCAATTTCGCAAACGAAATATATCTATATTGATCACTGTTTCTCAAAAGTGTTAAAAAAAAGTTCTATTTTTTCACAGATAAAATTAAAAAAGTTGTTCGTAACACTTTTTGAATAATTACGTTAAAACGTTCCCTCTTTATAGCTTCTTGTGTTAGGTGTGAAAAATATAGAATTGTTTTTTCCTTTTATAATAGCTAGAAAAACTTTCTTCGAATAGATATATAAGGAGAAAATAATTCTATTTTTTATGTTGCCGTGCAATTGAAGAATCAACGTAAGTAAGAAAAAATTCGAAGTTTAATATATTTGGCATCTATGCATGATAAACTACGTATAGAAAAAAAAAATAATAATTGTGAAGCCATTTTTCAAGAAAAGCATAATGAAACACATTGTTTTCTCAATTGCAAGGCATTAACGGCATTTATAAGTTCATTCCAGTGGCGTACGCAGAATTTTTTCAAGGGGAGTGTTCATGATTTTCTGAAACTACTAAAAGAAATTCGAGTATGTAATAAAGCACTATTATTTCCCTAATTTAGACAGCTAGACAATTTGACTTTTTATTTAGACAACATTGTTATTGCACAACATTTCAAGAACAGATAAAACAGAGAGACAAATTACACCCAGACCTTACACGGTATTCGAACTATGGATCTTCCTTATACGAGATCAACTTCTTGACCATCATACATGCGGTCAGCTTTAGTCGGGACTTTATTTTCGATTGTTCAGTCTTCATTTTAGTTTCGTCATTCTAGTTAACAATCTCCCACAATGCACTGCGATGAGGTTTCGAGTTGAAAAAATAATTTCGCCATGCATTTAAGAGTTCGCGTTTCATTTCAAATCACGTTATTTCGTGACGAATTGATTCCCAAAATTAACGAAATACTGATCAAGGATTGCTAAATCGTCATAAGCGTGAGTTTTATTACAGTTCTACAGCCCACGGTATCATATATAAAATGTTATTGTTGTAGCTCATTTACGTCGCTCTAGAGCTGCACAATGGACTATTTGGCGACAGTCTGGGAAACATCGCTGAAGATGATCCGAAAACATGCCATCACAATTTTGATCCTCTGTAGAGAGAATGGCACTCCAGCTTCGGTAGCCCGACGACCTGCACACGAAATCGAACACTTTACGATAGAACAGTTTAACGAGGACCAATACCGCACACCCTCGGTCCCAACGCAGACTGATCCAAGTGGCCATCCACCCGCACACTGACTGCAGCCAGTAATGCTTGACTTCGGTGATCTGCTGGGAACCGTGTCTTAACTATCAGTCCACTGCGGGACCATATATAAAATGAGCCTTTCTGAATCTAACAGTCTAAGATCACGCAGGCGTGATCTCCACTTGTATTAGTACTTATCGGTACTCTTCAGTATAATCTCGGAGTATGTAGATCTGGGTCCGCATCTTTCTCATTTTTTCTGTCCTATTGGGGTTTACGATGACCAACTTTAATGCCAATAATTCATAATATATAAACTCAATTGCGCTTGTAGGATCAATGAAATGCCCGTAGAAAACATTTAGTAAAATATAGGAAATTGCTGTGAATAGCGCAATTCAATGATAACCGCAATTTTTATAATAAAAACGGCGTTTTCTATTTAAAATCAGCTGACATTAACTCGAATCAAGAGGATATGAAAAGAAAGAAAGAAAAAAGACTTCTCTAAGAAAAATAACATTAAAATTCTTTCTGACATTTGTAATTAAAAAGGTTGCAGTCTTTAACAAAATAAAATGAAAAAAAAAGAACAATTTATATTTTAATTTAATAATGCAATACCGTACAATTCTTAATACAATATCCGTGTGGTAGTCGACGATTACGATTTAGTTTAGTACTTCAAATACTTTAAATGAAAATTAGATTTGTCTAATTTAAATGCTTTTTTTATCATAACTAAATTAAAATATTAAAGTATGTAATTAAAGCTTCTCTGGACAATCTGTAGTTTTTTTAAATTCAGTTTTGTCATTTTTCTTTCAATATGCGAATGATTATTGCGAGAAGTTGTTCCCGCAAATTAATTTTACTGGGAGCTGCAAAAAAAAGAAAAAAAGAAAAAAAAATGAATAAAGTTATTGCCTTGTTGAATTGAAGTTAAATAATTTCTTTTTAATTTGTGCGTCCAATTCTCTACCACTTTAATTATAAAATATTTAATAATATAGCTCTTAGTTTAGGTATGGTTTTTTGCCTTATTGCAAAGTCAAGCGAAACATCAGCTATTTTAGAGTTGTTTCATCAAAGAAAACGATTGTGTGAAATCGCTCGTTTGGTCTGACAGAAGTTTAAACACTCTAAAGGCGAGGTAGGAAATTATGGCACGCTTGCCAGTAGGTGGCACTTGAGAAATACATACTAAACTACTTTTATATACTTACATCGAGTATAAAATTAAATAAAAAAGGTAAAATCCTGGAATAGCCATCACTTGGCGACTTTTTGAAATCTCGTAAAGTTGGCGATTATTACTCGAATCAACGTTGTTGTTATATTATTAAAAAAAAAAAATTAAATTATTACAGATTTATTAAAATATTTTTATTAAAATATTTTTAATAAAATAAAATAAAAAATAATCAAAATAGATGCTCTGTAAGGTTACAACATATCTCCCCGAAATATCTTCCAGAAGCCTAGAGTACAATTTTTTGCACCATTATTACATTTTGTGAGGATGACTATATAGTGCCTATGGGAGTCTACTCTGAAGGAGATCAGATCAAAAATGTTGATCCAAAACATCCAATATTAGCTACTTTTTTTTCTTCTCACAGTTAAGGCTTCTACTTTAGTTTGCTTTACCCAACCTTAGATTAATCTGAAATATTTGAAAAACTCCTATATTTTCGATTTCCATTCGAAGCAAGTTAAAAACTAAATAGCAAATATAGTTACACAATGCGATTTTATAATTTTTAATGCGGTGATTTACATTTTAAGAAAATGTGACAAGTAGCACACTGGACACTTAATAACAAACCATATGTTAATAATAAACCATGCATACCAGTAGAAATGTCTTAGGCAGAGGCTAAACTATATCATTGAGTGAGATAGAGTTTGTCTAAAGAAAGAACTTCCATCGCCACAAAGTCTAATAAAGCTGTCTTCTGCTAAGGAAACAAGAAATAGCGCATTTCAAAGAGGGGATTTTCTTTTTCCCCTGATTCCCTTTCTGTCACCGACTTGAGCCAAAACATGTCTTAAATAGTGACTCAACATCCATACTTGAACTAGTTAAGCCTCGTAACCATAGTCACCGCCACTGCTCCAGACGAATGGCTAGGGAAGTTCTTTACACATACAAACTATACATCGATCACTGTAATTTTGTGGTTGTGAATGACAACTAGCTGTTTGCATTATTCCTTTTGGACGATACTTGCCTATAGAAATGTATTTCTATTGGTTGTTATCTGATTGATTGATTGATTATTGTCGGATTGCCAGTAGACAAGAAAGTTAAGTGACATCAGCTAAGACATCGCTATTGGAAGAGGTTCGCTATCTCTTCTCTGAGAAATCACTTATGTGGGAACGAGATGGATAAAAAGACTTACGCCCCATAGCTTAAAATATCAAAAAGCGTTTGAGTCTCTGTAACGCTGTAAAAAAAAGATAATTTTTTAAAGCAATTGGGTATAATATGAAAAAAACACAACTACTTCGATTTAGTAGGAACAACATATGACGCAATGCTAAACGAATGGAATTTAGTTGTTGTTTATTTAGTTATTGTTATTAGTAGTTGATGTTATTTGTTTTAGTTGTTGTTGTTTATTTAGTTGTATTTAGTTTCAATAACTTTTCTTTATAATGCAATGAAATCTGGCGAGCAGCTATTTAAACGATCGAACACTTCGTTTGTTTATTTGTGGCTTGAAGTTAGGCTCGCAGAAAATGCCGTTCATGGGTTAAATTTAGTAGGAACAACACAACCTGTGACGTAGGCTATATTATACCCAATTAAATTTATTTATTAGTGAAAGTATACTTTTATTACAGTTTGTTATATTTTGTTTATTGATTTATTATTAATGAAGTTGTATTAAAAATTGTTTGTCCGGGTTATTTTTGCGGCACGCTGTAGTCACCCTTTTAACTTTTTCAAAATATAATGAATTCATTTTTTAAAATAAAGAATAAAGTGAGCTCTAAGTTGAAATTAATCTCTCGTTAGCATTTGAAATAAATATGCAGATGATGAAATTCTTTATTTTAATATCTCGAAAAATAATTATTGTTCAAAATTTTAATCTGTTAATTGAAAATGAGTTTTGTACAAACAAACTGTCCAAATTGTGAAAATCCTGTCTATTTTGGTGAATTTTTTTTGGTATTTTCTGCCAGTAATTTTCGTTAATAACAAGTTTGAATAAATTCTATTAAATTAAAATCATAATAAGAAGCGATCAAAATTAACTTTCTGATGATTAAAAACATAACATGAAAACTCTGTCAATCAAATTTAAGCTGATGATAATTAATGCTTTTCTTGACTCGCAAAGATTAATGTTTTTAAGAAAATTGCTTTTCATTAAGCATGTTTACATGTTTACTTTTATAGCTTTATTATTATTTCGTAATTCATTAAGTAAAAAAAAAATTATTTTAAGTGATATAAGGAAAAAGGATCAAATAAAAAAATAGATCAATAAAAAATAAAATAAATAAATAAATATAATAAAATAATAAAAACTTGTCTAACGGTAAAATAACCGTAAGCTGTGGTTTTATGGAACCGGAATTTTTATCACATACCTAATTGTTATAACCTTAAGTTCAAATAATCGAAATGAGTCTGAATCGCCAAAGATATTGTATAGTAGCAGTGTAATTGTGAATGTTAAAATTGCCCCCAGTTTTTCCTTTTCATTTAGGTGTAATATTTAAAATTATATTAAAATTTCTACTGAATGTCTGAATTTGCTAAAGAAAGTATTAAACACCCCTACAATGATCTTATTTTGAAATTTATAACTGTACTGCTGTATGTTACGATATTTATATGGGATTTCCATATTTATATGCGATTATAGGTGTATCATTTGAAACTGAGCCAAAACATTTACATGAATACTGTTGAATTTGCCAAAAATATTATACTGTAATAATACCTTTATTTTTGAATTTTTAACGTTTCATACTTTAACATTCCAAATTAATTAAAAATCATAATAAAAAAAATGAGAAATTATTATTGGAATTAATAAAGATTTCGCCAATGCAAATAACATTGCTTTAAAATCGAATAGCTTTTTTCGTTGGAAATTTTGTTATCTATCATTGTTCATCATACTCAGTTGCTTACTGCATCGAATGTTAACGTGCTTAGATAAGCATTTTATAAGCCAAATGAAATTAATTTAAAATAAATCATTCAGCAGTACATCGAATTAAATCTACTTTTTTGGAATATTGTGTTCTAAAACAAATTCTCTGGGACTTGCATAACGCTGGTAACACACTATAGAGCAAACGATAAAGGAAATTCATAGCAAAACTCGGTGGGTTATTGTCATTGAACCAAAATATGAAATGCTACTTTTTGAGTTAGAAGAAATCAGAAGGTAATTTTATTAATTTCTATTCACCATACAAATTAAGAGTTGTTCATTTTTTAGTTGATTCAATGTTTGAGGCTAAATAAATTAATGTAAATGCTATTTTATTTGTTATTATTATTATTTTTTATTTGAATACTTCATCTAATAGTCTCTGTTATATGCAAATGTATACCACAAAAACTTAAAAAGTTTTGAATGATTGTAAATTTGTTTATGCCAGCGGGTAGCAGCAAACCATCACTTTATAGGTAGTCGTCGGATATGGTACGACAGTGACATATCCCCCCCCCCTCCATCCAAAAAAAAAAAAAAAAAAAAAAAAAAAAAAAAAAAAAAAAAAAAAAAANAAAAAAAAAAAAAAAAGAAAAGAAAATTAGAATATTTGTTAAAAAGGAAGTAAAAAAGTATGCACATCAGGGGTCGAAAAATGTACTCAGTACTTAAGCGAAGAAAAACAATAAACGTTATCAAAATCTAACGAATTGCTATCGAAGAAGGCGGGACAGAATTGCCAGATTAAATAGAGAGGAATGAAAAGGCTATTATTAAAAGCATCCCAATTTTAATCAGGCAATCGTACGAGGGTTCGATGCCTTTTCGCCTCACTACCCTCAACAGTAGTTTATAAGATTTTGATAGAATTTTTGTTTTTCTTCTCTTTTCTTATAATATGTGCTCCCTAACATGTATTCTTCTTCTTTTTTTTTTTTTAATTTTTTTGAGAGAATTCTTAAAATATACATTTAGGATGGTGATTTCGGAGAAACTTGTATTAACTATACATCTTTTGGATTAGATTATAAACTTTATCTGATCATTTTTGTTTAAACTTATCTTAGGCAAAATTAACATTTATAGTTAGTTTAGTTAACATTTTAGTTTCTCAAGTTATTTTTAATGCAAATCATTTATACGTATTTATATTAATTTTTAACAGGAAATGTTTAACTTTGTACTGCATACGAATAAAGTTGAATAAAGTAAAAGAGCAGTTTGCGCGCTTTGCGCAGTGTTTAGTTTTATTCAGAAAAAAGATAGTATTTTTTTTTCGCCATTTCGGTTTGAGTGAAGAAGTCTATAGATATAATCTATGGTTGATATAGAAGATATCCTAGAGGTAAACAATGAAAGAGTAAAAATAAACAAACAATTAAACAAAACGAAGAAACAAAACAAATAATTACGCAATCAACAAAACCTGTAATGAATAAAAATAAATAAATCCAAAAAAACTGTATTATCATCAAGTGTCATTCACTACAGGTTTGAAAAAAGAAAAAAAAGTTATGATCGCCTTATTATGATCACTGGTTACCATGTACTGGTTACCATGTACTGGTTATCAAGGAAACCATTTTGACAACGGGCAAAAAAAAAAAAAAAAAAAAAAAAAAAAAAAAAAAAAAAAAAAAAAAAAAACAAAGAATAAAAAAATAAACTAAAACTTTCTGATTAGTTAGTGAGATTTACTTTAATATCTTCTTTAAAGTTTAATATCTTCTCCAATATGTTTTTTTATTTTAGTACTTAGGTGTATACTTAATTAAAATTTTTAATTAATTTTGTATATACGTAGTTAAAATTACTCTGTCTAGTTCTATAAATAATCCGTTCTGGTTGACGGTCGACGATCGATGAAACTTAGTTAATTCGCTAAATATATTAGACCTTTAATCAATGAAATCCGCAATAAAAGATTAGTTCAAATCAATCAATCAATAACGTTTTTCATACGCAAGAAATGATTTATGCAGTTTCGGAGCGAATTTTTAAGATCACTTGTGAGTGCAGTAATAATATTATCCCTCCATACCATTTCCACGTACTTGAGGAAAACTTACAGCAAATTGTGTAGATGATACACTGAGAAAAAAAGGTATGATCAAAACTATCGGAATATGGTAAAATTTTCAGCGTTTCTGGCTCAATGGGAACACCAAAAAGCTCTGTAGTTTTTTTCTAAACAGCTTTGGTAATGATTTTGGTGAAATAAACAATAAAATATGGTTTTATAATGTGTGATAAAATTTCGTCATTTTATAATAATACCTTAGAGCATGGTACAAAAGCTATCTTTTCGGTAAAATTTACTTTTCAGTTTCGTATTTCTTTTTTCGCTATGTGTCATAATAAGAACTATAATCTAGAATTTCCGATGAACCGTTACCGAAAAAATACCCAAATGCATGCGTGGTAATGTTCGATACCGTATATTTTGATTCTTATTACCAGAATTACGTTTTTTATTTATTTATTTATTTTTACCATGCATGCTATTGCTATAATGTTCGGTGATTTTACAAATTTTTTTCGACGAGTTTAGTTCAATAAAATAATGCACCCCCAAATTGTGTTTTATTCTTTAGGAGCACCATATTTACCCCTGGGGGTCGAAATTAGAACTATTTTGTTTTATTATTAGTGTTAAAGATTACGTTTCCTGACAGTAAGTATAACGTGTATATCAAGTTTTATTATCTCCTCACTCTGTGTGGGTCGAAATAGAGTGATTTTAATTGTAACTACCCAGAGTATTTAGAAAGCAATTCTTCACCCCGAAATCTTTGTTAATTAATAAAATCGATTTGTTTTGTTTACAGCTGAACGAATACTTTGTATGGGTCGTTGGTGGCATAGAAGTTGTTTGCGGTGCACAAAATGTAACAAGGTATTGGAGCCTACTCGCTTGATTTGTGTGAGTAATCAAAAATGTATTATTATGATTTTCAAGCCGTTGGGCTCATGTCCAAGAGGTCCCAAGTTCGATCCCCGCCAACGGAAGACTCCCCTAGTACAAAACGGTGATTGATGAACTCTAAATCTGTTTGAGTCACAAAGTCCTCCAAGTTCCCATAACAAATCAATACCTCTTGGGTACTGGATCGGGGATTAATCGGGCTCTGGTTCAGGTTAAAATTACGATCTGAGGATGGATGGATGTTGTATGAATATGTCCTCCCAGTAAAACGGGCTGTGAGGTATGTGTGTGGGAGAAGACGAATTCCTGGCCATAGATGGAGTCACTAAAAACAAGAAGAAGCGCACCCCTCTGCCTTAAAATGTCAGATTCGCATAGAGATATTTTTCAGATTACAATACATAAATAAATAAAGAAAGAAATAAAATAAAAAATTTATATATCTTGAAAAGGATTTTGTGATATTTAAATGAATATTTTCTCTACTTGCAGCTCTGTGAACGTTTGTTTTAGGCACTATTGAGCAGCATACATTTTAAAATAAAAAACAGCTGGAATAAAATACAAATGAACATACATAAATGGGCATACTATAGTTTCAGTTCTATAAACTAGGACCTTCCTCAGTGTTTAAACGTCAAAAAAAAGATAGAGAAGTAAAGCGACAAACATAAAAATTGTTAACCGATAGGGGCCGAGGAACAAGTTTCAACAAGGAAATAACGAGGGGGAGATAAGAAACGAGTGTAAGGAGAATTTTTGAAACCCCAGAGTGCAACATATTAAATTGAAATGGAAATTGGAATGGAAACGGAGGGATACTTTTTGATTTTTTCTGCATTGCACAAAGTATACCCTATCTTCTCTTAGCATACATTTTGTTTAAAATCTAACATTCAAACCACTAGTTCGTTACATGATGGTTATTGTGTAAGAATTTGACCGAGTCATAAAAATTTATTTATTGCTATCACTATTGTTTAATTGTTGGAACGCATCTTCTTAGTAGGTGAAAAGTTTACCTAAAAACAAGTTACAAACAAAGATTTTGCTAAGAAATGTTACCATGACTGTAACTTAAAAAACATTTTATACAGAGTGTAGCTAAACTAACGGTTTAAACTGTAAAGGGGTAAGAGAACTTGCCAAACTTTCTTTACACATTGTGGGATCGGAAAGTTAAGGACACGCCGTGAAAGGGTGGCTTCTTGAAGAAGCTACCTGAACATTGCTTTTTCGAAAAAAAAAGGGGGATTGATGGTTGTGGGAGTTCTATCTCTTGACCTTCTAACCCAAAACTGCACTATCTATACTGTCAGATTTTTTCCCTGAAGACATCGCCAATGAGATGCCCAGAGAGCATTGTCACCTGAATAATTAGCGTTGTAGCGGCAAACGTCAGTTAAATTCCATAAAAGTGTCAACATTTAATCTATCGCCCACATGATTCCCATATTGATGATAGTGGTTGCTCATTTGAACATATGTTGAGTTTTCACTGATGAAGATTATTTGTATTTTACTATTCGTTTTTATTATATTGTGACCAATGCTTAATTTGCTAAGTCCTTTCCCAGTTATAGTTGTGAAAATTTTAGATGTTACAGCTTTGTTACAATTTATACATTGAAAACGCATAACTCTGATACTCTTAGAAATAAGCGATTTCTGTTAGTAAATATTATTCATAAATGAGGGTATTTGAGGTGGTTTAATTTTAACTTTCCGTTAGACGCGCACTTGTTTCCGACATGGTTAGTCGCGTTGCACCTATAAGGTGTTTTTGATTTTTTAAAGTCAAGTGAAATTTATTCTAGTTTAAATAGTTCATTGTTACCTATCTAAGATTCTTTAGATAGATAAAGTATGAAAAAACTTATTTAATTACTAAAATATATGAAAAAACTGTATCACAAATAATTGCACAACATAAAGAAAAACAAAGAAAAGTAAAATTGTAAAAAAACATTGAGAGTCTTGCATATTGGAACAACTTATTTCAATATCACATGTTAGTATAAAAATATTATCTTAGAGGCTGTCTGATGCAGAACTACCTTCATGTGAACAAGAATTTTTGCAAGAGGTCTTCACAAATTGTTGTTACATTACTCAAATATAAGTGTTTTCCGCAAGTAGCACAAGTATACTTTGTATTTTTTCGTTGTTTATTTTTTTGACATGGCACGCACAATTTTCTTTTCTTGGCTTGATTTTCTGACAGTGAATTTTCTGAGGCTTGAGAAGTTTGCTTCTGCTAATCGAAAGCGAAGTACTGAAGATAACTTTTTCTTGCTCCTGCGTCGGATCATTTCATCCATAACAAGTTGTATACCCAATTGACGCAAGAAGGTTCTGCGGTTTTTCACTTCGTAACCATTTTTTGCGTATATAACTTGACCATTTATACCTGCTACGTTGAGTAGGGCAGAAAATAAGATAAAATATAGATATTTAATTCATAAAAATATTATATCCATAATACTTGGGTCAATAATGGTCGCGTTGCACCTGTGGGGTGATTTGAGCCGCTGCAACTCTCCATCGACATGTTTGAAGGTCGGGAGTACACGGACCTTTGAGTAATCCAAAGATAGGAAGATAACATTAGGCTCGTCCCCCGGAAAAATCTATTGACGGCAAAGGAGGTGGAAGTGCAGTAAAGATGCACCTGTGAGGTGCGCGCGTCTAACGGAAGGTTAATGCCTTGTAACAGTTTTCTGAAATCTATTTATATAGATGTCTAAACTTATGTCACTTCACTTACTCGTCCACTGGTCATCAATGATGAATCAGTTATAGACAGGAAGCTATAGGAATACGTTTTTATTGGGATAAGAATATGAATCTCCCAATATGAATGGTGCAAATGACTAATGATTGATTTATTTCACTCAGTGAAGCAATTTAGCCTTTGCCTTGGATAAGTCTATAAATCGAAAAAAAAAAAAACTTGAAAAAGTATGTTTTTCTGTTTTACCTCAGTAATAAAACAGGTATGAAAAATAAAATTTTCATAAATAATATACTTTAAACGTTTTAAATAAGGACTTATTAGGCTTTATTCTGGATCTGGACTATTATCTGGACTTATTAGGCTTTTCCCTTAAATTTTAATAGCTCCGCCTACCGATCGAGATTAAACCACCTCGAATCATTTACTCCCTTCTCTAAAACTTCTGTAAGTGTCTGATAACAGCAGAAGTGTCATTTAATATTTTCCGTTGTTATGACAACCGTTATTTTTCGAAAAAAATCAAAATCAGCATCTTTGATATTGTTTAGTAACTGGACAGGGCCAGAAAAACTGCTTCGTAGTTCTGATAGACAGATAAATCAACCTCTACATGAAGTATTGTTCATCTATGTGCTTAACTGAGTCTACATCTAACATTTTTCTTAAAGATTTTTCGAACACACTCAAATTTATTTAAATCGATAATAATCTGCAGTTTATTTTGCAATAAAATATTAACCCACAATGCTTTTTTGATGGTTATGTTTATCTTTTTTCAGAAGGAAGGGAAAGTGTATTGTCCTGTGCCATGCTATAACAACTTGTTTTTTACCAAAGGTAAAGTATTAGATTCTAGTGTTATATTTTTTTATAAGGTATTAGTACAAAAATATTTCGTAGTCAAATTTTTGAGCCAGTATTACTGTAATATTAAAAGTACAGGATATCCGAACAGGTGGAGAAAATTTAATTTATATATGTAATATGGTTGTTCTTCATAATTTGAAATCGAACATTTTATTTAATCATAAAGTCATGATGCAATAATTTATGGAACAACACATCTAGATCATATGATTTAACATCTTTGGACTTCTCTTTTTATTATTTTTTTAAGTAAGCAAACTAATTCAACAACTTCACAGCCATCTGAGCTTTGAAGTGGCTATTTGACACTGAATTGAATAGCATAAAAACTGTAGCTTACAGAGAAAAAAAGATAGCAGATTTAGAAATACCTAAGATTCATTAAAAAAATCTCATGCAAAAAATGTTGTGCTACGTAATTCATTGGGAGCTATGTAATAAGTAAATTCATCAATTATCATTATCAACAATAGAGATAATGGGACTTAGTTTATTTAACTTATAAAATTCTAATGGGAAAATTAAACAAGATGAAAATATGTTATAAAAATATTAAGACAAGACATATTTTAAAGGTAATGTAAAACCTGTTTTAAGAACAATAGCTAAAAAAAATTGTGATCGCATTATTGCAATCACAAGGTTACCCATTTGTCAAATTTTTTTCCCCTGGACAGACGACATTTCAAGTCAAGGGTTCAAAAAAACTGCTTAATTTGTCCTCTTGCCGTCCGAAATGCTGGATTAGTTTTCAATTCCAGTAAAATATATATCTCTTAAGACGTCACAAAATTCGTTTCCTTCTTCAGTATTCATATTCATATTAAAATCTTTACCAAGACAGTAATTAGGAATAAGTTAATCATAAATAAGACATAAAATTGCTGGTAAAAAGAAAAAAAAATTCTAAAGAAATTATCAAACAGCAGCTGTCGCGATACCAACGCATTCAATGATGACGCATGCGCACTGTTTACTAATACTCTTGAACACAGTTGAAAAGTGTGATGACGTCCAAATAAGGTGCGCATGCCATCAAACCCAAAACAAGACCCATTTTGCAAGTGGGCAATAATAACAAAACTGAAAATTTACATATAATTAGGAAAGAAATCGACCCAATGTCAGTAGCCAAATCTGTTTAGTACTGTCAATATAAAATTATGGTGTATAATTAAAGTTTTGCTTATTTCGACTGGGTTATGATAATATTTGTTAGAAAATTATGTTTTTGCATTAAAAATATATCACTAATATATTTTCGCAACCAACGAAAGCACTTTTGTAGGCTTAAAATTTAATGGACAACTGGGCGATTTTGGCAACCACTTTTTAAAATTATCGAGTACAACATACAAATTTTACTGGTAACTAAGTAGAATGCATAGCACTACTTTATTTAAATATTCTAATTCTTCAACCCATATTCCAATACCTTGATTAGTTTTAAGCAACATATTAATCACATGTTTTCCCCTTTGAGCTGTTGCTTGCCTGCTTTACCGTCACGGAAGTATTTTTATTTTTATTTTAACTATTTTCAAGAGATGTCCGCTTTATTGCACATGTTCTTTATCTTTTGACTATTATAATATTTTGAAAAACTGTCCGGCAGCCATTAAATCACACGAACCACCATAAGTTTGAGGGCTTATTTTTTCACAGCCAAATTGAAACAAACAGTTTCCATAAACAGGGTGTTTCATTATTAATGCCTTTAAGATATATTTTTAAAATTCTTATAAAAAAATAAGTTAAAATAGTATGAACATTAAGAGAATAAAATAAATATATAAGAGAGATGAAATACTTATTCTGTTGAAATAGATTTCTCCATTAGGGGCTATCAGTCCTGACTTCCTCGCTAGTGATCCGTCAGATTTCGATAAATCTTTTGTTATCGAAATAATATTCTAAATATGTGTACTTTTTAACTTCATTTTTGAGAATTATTTTAAAAGTAAATAAATTTAGGGGTTTATTACAGAACAACGAGAATCTACTTTCAATTTTAGAAAATAATTAAAACTCATCGCGAATAGAAAGTTAGATTTTATACATTATTCAAATAAATACTATAATTTAGTTAAATTAAAGCTCTAGATATTTTCATGGGGGTAGCCTATTGCAGATTATTTTTTATACATCAATAAATAGCAGCAGTTTTACCTAAACAGATGATTATATGGTAAAATTGCCGATCAGTTAGTCACTGCTGTATTACAATTTCATTCGAATTATTTCAGGTATTCATTAAATTAATTGTGGAATCTGATCTATAATTGAATTTGCTTAGGAGTTAAGCAGGCGTCAAAAACATTATGAAAGAAATGAAAAAAAAAATTCTTATAATTGAATTTTGAATCGCGGGTGCCAAGCGTTAAATTATTCCTAAGAATTTTAATATTCTTAATAGTCGAATATATAGTTAATCATATTTTTATTGAGGCGTATGCATATAATCTTTTGTTGTAAATTAATATTCTTTTAAAGATGATTAGAATTAAATACATGTTGCATTTATCTAAGAAACTTCCTTTTTTTTAATAAACAATCAAAAACTTTTTCAATGTTCATTGCCTTATACTTATTCTATAGTTTTTCGTCTAAATATTCAGATTAAGTTTTTATGAATATGAAGAATGTAACCAAATCAGAAAGATTGTTATTATTGGGTTAATCATTTCATTGGGCTGTCTCCATCATTTTGCAGTTGTTGACAGCAGACACTCCTGTTGATTGTTTAATCAACAGGAAGATTAACTATATTTAGCCATGAGAATAACATCGAAACAGCTATATATTAACCATATGTATGCGTTGCTACGCCTAATTTATGCGATATTAATAGCTTTAAACCAATGGAAGTTAAGCTATTTTTGAAAACTATTTTTGCTTTTTTTAATAAATTTATGAAATTGTTTGAGTATTTTTACAGATATTTCTTAATGAAATAATATTTCTTATCGTGCATGCATCTTTTTCTTTTAGAAGATTATCGCTTGAAATAAGAATTTTGATTTTGTTTTGAAAAAAAGGAAATATTTTATTGTTTAATGCGTTATATAAAAGTAAAAAAAATGTATATAGAGCAAATATTGAATAAAAACAAAGGAAATCCACCATTAAGATTCATATTCTGAATTCTTACATAAATTTGTTAATTGTATTAAATAACTTTATAATGCTTATTTTCTATCCGTTTCGGTTTTATTAAGCCTAGTTAGAATTCATATTTATATTCGCTTTGTGTTGCATACTGTTTGATTACAAACCATTTTTATTTTAAGAAGCATTGTATAGGTACACATTTTAAATTAATGATTGCTATTCGATGTTGTATCGTAAAAATAACTTTACTGACTCTTATATATTTCATATCTTACTGTAATTATAAATTTCAATGTCACTAGATAACAAAAATGGTGGAGGCTACTCTACACCGAGCAGTATACAAGATCGATTTTGGTGTATTAAAACATGTAGATCCAAGAGTAAAGTATGGTATTTCAGAATACCACTTATGCGTAAAATAGTTGCCACCATTTTCGGCATCGAGATAATAATTTTTCTTTTACAGTCTAAATAATCTGCGGAATAATTGATTTCTACACTTTAACAGTAATATAGAGATTGAACAAATAAATTTTCATCAAGAAATGAAATCATTAAAGTTTGTTTATGTTTAAGATGTGCTAGATTACATTTTAATACAAGAAATTTCCAATGCATTTTAATTTTAAAATAAAGGTTCTCTTTTAGGTTACAGACGCGTCAGATACTACTGAAAAGAGGGACTTTGAATGTGAATGAAAAAGTTAAAAAGCTTTCTAAAAAATGTTGAAATATATTTCTACACAAAAAATTTAATAAGACATTTTTTCCCCAGAAAATCACAGCTTCGAAATATTTTGTTAAAAAATATTTTAGTGGAAAGTACGAAGACAATTATTTTCAGCAAAAATTATTAAAATCGTAATTTTGATAAATTTGTTGTTGATTTTAAGATTTTTTATTTATGCATAAAAATTAGGAGGTTTTGAGTTCTTATTGCAGTTCATGCGATTAAGTGGAGTTTAGAGCGGTAGAGGTAAAACCTTTTTGGAGAAAGCGCCTCTCTCTGGCGAATACAAAGTTATACATGTCGTTTCCAACCTTTGAAACATGCTAATATATATATAAAAGCTAAAAAATATTGTTTTGTATAATTATGAAAGTTTTAAATGGCTTTTGGATTTGCAAATTTTGTTTCTAAGTTTTCTATTTTGAGATAAGTTTTCAAGACGTTAACAAAAATATTTGTTTTAGGTTTGTATTAGTTAGTTTTTTACTATATTTTATTCACATTCTTTTCATAATATGAAGTTTTTTTTCTCAAACAAATACTGATTTAAGTCTATATTGTTGACTTAGATCAACATGAGGGTGTGGATCTTCTACAGTATCTGACAACCAAAGAGTGTTGAAAAAAAATTGTTGGTATTATGATTAGTGTTTAAAAAGTAAACAAAATTCCTGATATAGTGGTTAAAATTTGGATGCAAAGCGCAATTAGTGTGTCCATATATTTAAACACACATTTTGAGCTGTGACTATCATTTTTAACACGCATTTTGCTATGCCCATTTTTTTTTCATCCCGCATTTTTTTCAACACACATTTTGAGATCAGTTTTTTTTCCAGCAATCATTTTGAGTTATATTCATTTTTTAATACAAATTTTGAGCCATGTTCATTTGTTTTCAACATGCATTTTGAGATATGTCCATTTTTTTCAGCAAGCATTTGGAGTTATGTTTATTTTTTAACACGCACTTTGAGGTATTTAATTTTTTTTTTCAATTCACATTTTGAGCAATGTTCAGAACAAAATGATCACCATAGAAATGTTGCTTCCACACAAAAAAATTCTTTAACGACTGCATAAGTTAGCTACAACGCACGTAAAACTTCGTTGTGCCACAATAGCATGTGGAATATTTTACACTTTCACATACCATTCGCATGTTTCTGAACATGCAGATGCTATGTGATGAAACTGACTGAAACAGAACTATCACAGTTTCCCACAGAGTTTACACAGAAAATGCACGTGTAAACGAGCGAATGTGGAGATTCTACTTATCATTAGTAGCGAGATTTTGCACTTACTAGTTTGTATGTTCCTCTCACAAGGGAAACTAGGGAAGTGTGACTCGCCAATTTTTAAATAAATTAGTGGGATGTATGCCTTATGAGGAATAATTTTTGGGGGCAACATTCGTTTCGGCCCGTAGAAGGTCCTGTGAGAGATAAAAAATAATTGAATATATAGAAAAATCGGTATTTTATCACTTCAATGCAGACTATTAGTTATTGTAATTATCTCATAATCCAATTAATTTGTAATTAATTTGCTAATTGATAAATTAATCAGAAAATTAATTAATCGTTAATTAATTATTAATAAATTGTTAATTAATTAGTTGTTTTGCAATTACATACTCCAATTAATTTGGAAAGTTTTTTGGAAAAAAAATTAAAAAAATTAGTAATTTTTTTTTTTTAAAATTAACCTAGCAGGTTTTTCTGAAAAACTACAGATATATAAAATTTTCGAAATCAATTTTGACAATAAATATGCATTATATAGTACGTGAATGTACCACAAAATTAATTGGAGTGTGAGACAATTACAATAACTATTAGTCTGCATTAAAGTAATAAAATACCTATTTTTCTATATATTGAATTATTTTTTATCTCTCACAGAACCTTCTATGGGCCGAAACGAATGTTTCCCCCTAAAATTATTCCTCATAAGGCATACATCCCACTAGTATATTTCAAAATTGGCGAGTCACACTTCCTTAGTTTCCCTTGTCAGTAAAATTACTACTCAATAATTTTTATTTTTCCCAGAGCTTGTCTAGAATATTTATATTATATGATAGTTTAAGGATGTCAAATACAAATGAATGGAACTTTTTCTAAATAAAATTCTTCAAAGCGCATTTTGAATAGAAAAATTTTGAAAGATAAAATACTAATGATGTAATTTAATCTTTTTTTAACTATTGAATGGCTTCCAATTTCTAAATTTTTTGATTAGTAACTCAATGCTCAGACAAACTGTTTTTTTTTTGTCATGCATTCAACTTTTAAAAATAGGGTATTTTTTCAAATGGCTCAGGTGGTCTTATTTCGAAATAATAATTCTGCATTTTTGAAATTTCAAGAGTTTTTGTTGTAAAGCGAACAACAGAACAGTTGGTACTTCACGAAACTTTTTTTATTGTTGTCGTTTTTTTCCGCTCTCGAAAGAATTTGCTGTATTAGTCTTGATTCCAGTTTTATTCAACATATTATTATTATTTCAAAAACTTTTGTATGGCTTTAGAAATTCAGCATTTCAGTAAGAAGACAAATATTTCCTTTGATAAAAACATTCATAGGGGAAGACGTATAAATAACAATAAATATTTTGCGGAAGAAATAAATTTATAAATAATACTTTAGTTGTAAGATAAATTGATAGCAAATGATAAATAAATTATTGGTTATATAATATTTTATAAATTTTGTTAATGATCAAAAATGCATTTTTATAATGATTTTGTTTTAATATGCATTATAATCACTTTCTTTAATATATATTTTTATATTAAATGCTTATCAAAAATAAAAACATTAGAATTTATACAAAAAATGTGTCAAAAAATATTAACGTAAAAAAGAAATTCGGTACCAAAGATTGATAAATATTTGTCAAAAGCTATGAAAAAGGGGGCATTAAGTCATAAAAACTAGTTTTCTTTAGACTAAACTTAAAAGAATTCCCCCTAGTTTTTATCGGGTTGGATAATTAAAAAGACACACACACACAAAAAGAAACTATTTTCAATTTATTAAGTTTAAATTTTCATAATTAGTTTTTATAAGCCTGACCCTAAATTCTGGTTCAAATATTCATTTAGTAGATTATAATTAATTGCTTTTTGACATGGATTCTAAAACTCATTACAAAGAGGTTTTTTTACAAAGCACTTTGTATAAAACTTTTATTGAGAAAAAAATGAAGCATGGTAAAATAATTTTCAGACTCTTAACTCTTTCAAGAATAGTTTACAAGTTATGCAAAATTTGAAAGCTTATTTTAACTTATTTCTCTCAAATATATCAAAGAAGAGTTTCTTTATTGTTACAAATTATAAATAAAAAAAATATTATAATGAGGTATTGTTGCAAATTAAATATTTTTATGTATAATAATGGATGGAATGATTGATTTAATGATGATTTCGGAATTGTAGTAAATGGCACTTCACAATAATAATAATAATATATTGAAATAGAACTAGATTGTATTTTGACATTGGATATAGTAATTCATAGAATAGAGCATAAAGAATTATCAATTTGAATGTTTTTTTTTTTTTTTTTAATTTTACTTCCAATGGCAGATTATAGACAGTAACAGCATACATAAACATTTAAAAATAAGAACAGAAACAAAAGATGCTGCAACAGAGTCTATTAATCACAACATGTCTCTAGCTTCCCAATAGCGTTCAGTAATAGAATTCCCGCAAAGTGCAGAGCAGCGGAGAAGGTGCGTGGAGTCCATGTCCTCACCAGAACTGCAAAGAATGCATACCGGGGAAGGAACGATACCAAATCTAGACAGATGTTTCCGCGAACAGTCATGGCCGGTGGTCAAGCGGAATTCAGCCACCCCTCTTCGTCTTGGGCCATTTCGCAAATTTAGGATGGTGGTCCTCCAAGACTTAGTAGAAGTACGGTCGATTAGTTCTTCATGAGCACGGGTCTTAAAGGTCCTCTTAATAAGCTGCTTGATGGAACAGAAGGGTATAATGTGCACAGAAGTCTGAATAATTAAGGCCCCCTTTTTTTACTAAGTAGTCTGCATTTTCATTACCCGTAACCCCGCAATGGGCAGGAACCCACTGGAGAACTATGGTTTTCTTAAGGGATGCTAGGTATTCAAGTTGGAGGCGGCAATCCAAAATGTCTCGAGTTAAGGAATTATTTAAGGATGCATTTCAATGTAAATAACAGACAAACAAATTCAGGCGAGTCCGTAGGGCATATATCAATAGTGCTAAAGCTGGCGTTTTTTGATGTACCTTTTCTAAGAAATTACTTATAATATTACTTTGAAATATTCCGGGGATATTTGAGATTATATCAGTTGTATGTTGTGATAATGTTTTAGTGCTGACAGGTGAACTGTATTTAAGAATTTTTGATTCTTAATTAGAGCAAGAAAGGCAAAAACATCGTTCAAATGGTGAAATTCTCTTTTACTTAGTACTCGAGAAGTATTTTATAGGATCTCTCAGGTCCCATAGCTCAAAAAAAGAAAAAAAGAAACTCACCAACTCAATGCATAATAAAAAGTAAAAGAGAATTTTAAAAAGAATTCTAAAAGCAGCGGTTGCCATACCAACACATGCAATGACGACGCATGCGTACTGTTTACTGTTACTCTTAAACAACAGGAATACTTTTTGAGTTATGAAAGATTTCAGCTCAAAAGGGATGAAACTTTTTAAGAAATTAAAAATTCTAGGATTATAATTTTTTAAGAAGATTTCTGCCAAAGATATGTATTAACAGTCATCACAGTGTAAAACATGTATATGTAAATATTCTGCGAAGCTGAAGTAATATCTTACTTAGATGCTGAGGAAAGGTACATATAAAACGGTCAGTTTAAGCATCACTGGCATATGACCAGCCGACTCTCTCTTAGGCCGAAAATATATTCAAAAGGAAACAATAAATTAAGTGAAACATGATCGACAACGAAAAGTGGTAGTGCAAAATATAAGTGGAATGCTGTAAACAAATAGACTCAATGGCTACACTATGTGAGGTTAACATTAAACAGATTAGTATCACCAAATTTGGAATAAGTTGAATTCTAAAAATAATCAAAAAT